AAATCAATGAAGATGAGTGTTGCGTTGCTCTTAGATTGTTGTGCCAGACTAATCATCTCATTGACCAGCAATATATTTTCTTGAATGTTTCTGTTGCGGATGAACCCAATCTGAGCAGGGTGAATGAGGTCCTCGATCACCTCGATCAATCTATTTGCTAATGCTTTTGACAACATCTTGTAGACCACTGTCAGGAGCATGATAGGTCGGTGGTTCCTAATGTTTATTTTATCCCCCTTTTTATGTAACAGAGTTAGCACCCCCTGACCCACCAATTCCCCCAGATCCCCTGAATCCCAAACCGCCTTGTAGAACTGCATCAGGTCCCTACTGAGGAAGGGTCACATAGTCTCCCAAAATTCTTTTGGGAAATCATCTAACCCAGAGGTTTTTTCTTCTTCCATTTGCATGAGGGCTGTCCAAATTTCGTCCTTGGTAATAAAGCGATCAAGTTTATTCTTCTGTTGGGGGGAGAGGCGGTGTTCCATCGGGCGTAAGAACTCATCCATCTCGATAATTCTTTCAAGCTCTGATTGCAAAGGGACATGGGAGGAAAACAGATCCTTATAAAAGGATCGCGAGATCCTTATGCAGTGGGTTGTTGTTGTGGCTAATTCATTGGTCCCGGGATCAAGGAAGGCCTCAATGGTAGTGCGGTGAGCTCTTATCGACGCCATGCTAAAAAATTGTGAATCCATGGTTCCTTCGGTGGTCCATTTCTTGAGTTTGCCTCGGATTCTGATTCCTTGCCATCTGTGTGATGCGAGCTGCAGAAGTTGGTCGTCCTTGAATTTCCAGAGTATGGCTACGCCAGTACTCCCATACATCCCGAATATATTTTATGAAGGACTCATCCTTGAGTAAGGTCGTATTAAGCTTATAGTACCCAGGCCCTGATCCGGGCGTTTCCGAAAGGAAAAGATGGCCCCACATGCGCAGTGATCCAGGCCAGGGTGGGGGCTATGTGGGAAAATGACAGCACGCTGAAGGGCTTGCTGAATCTCCTCTGATATTAGAATCAGTCTATGCGTGATTTTGAGTGTTTTGTTGGGTTATTTGTGCAAAAACAGGTGAAGGATTTTTCTGTTGGATGCAGGTATCGGTATGCATCCACCAATCCCAATGTCCCGCAGAGGTCCGCTATCAGTGTCTCATCCTCCTCCACGTAGTTTGGGCAGGGGGTTGGGGTGTTCCACCTATCCATCCGTCTGTCAGGTGCCGCGTTAAAGTCTCCTGCAAAAATGAGCGGTACCCCTTGGGGGCATGGGCTTTGAGGTGTGTGAACAGACGACCTTTTTCGGTCGTTGTATTGGGAGCATAAACACAGAAAATGCAAATTAGTTCTAGCTCCAACATTCCGAGGATCGACACCCACCTCCCTTGCTCTTCGTCAACCACCCAGTGTACCACCTCTAGACGGGACCCCGGCGGAACCCAGATCGCCACCCCTGCTGATCGCGGTGTTACCGCATGCGCCCTGAAGGTCTGGTGTGGCCAGACACTTTTATGGGCCTGGTGGTGCTCAGGCTTGTCCATCAGGTGAGTTTCCTACACACAAATCATGTGAGGCCATGTCCTTCTTCCCACGCCTCTCAACTGTTCCCATATTGCTTGCTGTTTGGATGGGTTGAAGGAGGTTAGGCCGTTCACGTTTATGGTCCTCAGATCAAGATCTGCATTTTGGAGACAGCTCTTCCACTGGGGGTTTGGGGTTCCTGCAGTACAGTATATCAATGTCGTTCATTTAGTCCTCTTATTTCTTTCCCCGGGATCAGACACCCTCCCAGGGGCGGTCGGACCAATTCACTGTGCATAACAACCCGTACCTGAGAATCCTTGAGAGGCAGGTATGTATATCCTCTTCAGCCCAAAAGGAGTTAGCTTTTATCCGCTGAAGAGGGAGATCCATGAGGGCACTGTGGTTGAACCATTTCAGGTTTGACTTCTTGTCGTCCTCAAAGAGGACATACAGGTCTGTGTTGGCTATTCTGATCACCCCTTCGAGCAGCGGTAGGATTGCGCGGATGCCTACCGGATAATGTCGTCTCAGGAAATTTTCCACTTTCTTCTTAAAGTCACTATCCCTCAAGCCAGGAAGGGACCAGATGTTAAAGAACTCCAGCCTGGCAGTGCCACCCCCCCTTGCACAGGGGAAAGCCCCACTTCCATCCTGTCCCCATCCTGCCTCAGCGGGATGACCGCTACCCCGTCTTTTTGCTGCAGGGGTCTCTCATATTGGCCCCCGGACACCATCTGCCTGAGCTTTTTATATCTTGGCAGGTCGGGAGTGTGACTAGTCTGGGTTGCTGTGTGACCTTTCCCTGGCGGGTCCGGTGGAGGCTGAGGGGGAGGTGGGGGGCAAAATTGAAGAGCCGCAAGGTGACAAATTCTCTCGAATATTTTCGGCCAGGATATGTGTGGGGGCGGGCCCTCTTGCAGGGCTTTGTGCAGCGTTGGGCTCCTGTCCAGCAAGGCGAAGAGTTGAACGTACGTACAGTCCCAGAACTCTTGGCAGGCCTCTGGGAGCTGAGCTCGAAAGCCCTCTATCAGCCATTCCGCTATTCTTTGTAACTTTTGTTCGATATCCATATCCGCCGGGGGCGCTCCCATATCGCCCTGTTGATTAGCGTCCGTCATTGCCACCTCCGGGGGGGGGGGAAGCGAGGAGGGGTCCTCGATTTCAATGGGTTGGGGACCAAAGACCTCTTCCAACTGGTCTATCATCACCGTGTCTGTGTGGTCCCCCTGCTCCACGTGGTCCCCTCCTACAGTTCCGTGAATCTCTTGGTCTGCACTTTTCCTCTCCCCTGCCATGTCCCTTTGCTGCTCCATTCCGTGGCTTCCTTCCCCCCCGTTTATCAAGCGTGTCCCTTGTGTATCCTCTGCAGTAGCGGGTTGCCTTTGCTGGCTGATTGTGGGTTGCTGCTCCCGGGCCGGATTGGGCGGGGCGCTAAAATGTGCAACTGACATTTTGAACAGACATTGCATTACCTCCCTCCATTGTATGTGTTCCGGGAGGCCCTGCTCCAGGATTGTTCTGACCTGCCGACTGTTCCCCAAGGCCCCATTTAGCTGCGTGTGAGCCTGAGCCCAGAAGTCTGTCGGGGCCTTGGTGTACAGTGATTTCAGGCCTGACATAATCCAGTCAGAGATCTGCCTTATTGAAATGCTCGGGCTTTGCACCAGTTCTAGGCTCACAGGATTGTTGTTCCCTTGCATTGAGACCCCTAGCACCCCTTCAGAAGTAGCAATTCGGAGATGGAGTCAGGTGCTGGATAAGAGTCACCAAGAAATTGGGATAACATTATCTCGGTGTTGGAAATAGTTAGAGATTGCTCCTAACCCGCGGTTAGCTTTTAACCTCTGGCTGTTGTCCTTGATGGTTACTCCCTCAGCTGTTCACCTCGCGCAACGGGGTCTGCAAGTTGATCTGGTATGCAAAAGATGCATATGGGCCTTTGAATCCACAGTTCATCTGTGGTACGATTGCCCTGCTTCAGCTATAATTTGGGATTGGTGGAGGAGATTATGGGATGATATTTCTGGAGGATGTCTCTTATGGGACCGTGACTGGATGTTGTTGGGTGGATTACCGGACAATCTGCAGCTCAACAAGGGTTGGGGCTATGTTGCTCAAGCTGCTCGGACAGTAGGTTGTGATGTCATTTGGAAAGGTAGAAACAAGTCTGTGTTTGAGGGCTTGGAAATGTCCAACAAAGAAATCAGAGCTATGTTTCGAGGCTGCCTGCGACGCATCATTCAAGCAGATTGGCGGAGGAAAGGTGAATCGAGATCAGGAGCCTGGTTTGGCTCAACATGGGGGCTGAATGGGAAGCTAGCAAGTTTCTAGGATGGTAATTAACTTTGGGAGATTGGTTTTGGGCTAGGTAGTAGTCAACGTACCTGAGCACTCGGTCAAACTTCCACAGGAGGAAGGCAGGAGGGTGAGGGAATTGAGGAAGGAGCGCCGCCCACTAGCAGCATTGGGCTACCTCAACGCCTGAATCTGCATGTGTTTGTGGAGACGTGCAGTTCAGGAAACTCAACACCATTTCTGCACATCACTCCAAAAACTTCCAGATTCAGGCATTGAGGTAGCTCAACGCTGCTAGTGGGACTTGGCCCCCGTGAGAGAGAGAGAGAGAGAGAGAGAGAGAGAGAGAGAGGGACGGCGCGTTGCACTCTCTCCCCCAGACCGCAACGCGCAGCGACTTGGAACTCGTGACTTTCATTTTTTTCTTTTTTTTTAGTTCCTTCTTTTTTTTTTTTTTTTTTTTTTTCCCCCCCCTCCCTTACTTACCGGTCCCCGGCCCACCGACCACCGGAAGTCGCGGCGCGTATACGGCTGCCCAAAAAAAAATAGCAGGCCGAGGTACTGGTGGTTTAAAAGTTGGTAAGCAGGAGTCAGTTTATGTCTCAGCTAACTGGCTGTAAGCTAAACCGGCTGATGCTGCCGGGATAACTCCGGGTTGAATTGTGAGGTCCCCGGCCTCTGGTTCTTGTTTGGAATATAAAGTGGGATTTGAGTATAAAAAAAAAAAATAAAAAAAAAATCGTTATTTCTCCAGACGGCTGCGACCTTGTCCCATCCGAAAAGGTAGTGCGACCGGAACCATGCCCAAAACCTCAAATCGGCGCTTCCCAAATTGGGGTCCAGTGTGAGTATGCCCACAGCCTGGGGGAAAAGTAGAATGCCGCAGAAAACGTATTGGAAGCGGTTCAGGAACGAGGTCGACGTGTCGTGCTCACGCCAAAAGATCGACGTGCGGTTCTCGGTGAAGACCGCCAACGTGTCGGTGCAGAACCTCTCTGCTGCTCCTGCCTTCTTTTACGACAGTACTACGTCGTTTGTGATTTTTCTTCTTCCTGGTTTTCTTCCGTCGTCTTTATTGTTGTCGCGACGGGGAGTGTACAGGTGCCACGTGTCTCGTCGAGTATGGATCATCTGACAAAATTGCGCGAGGTGCTGGCCGACGATTCGTCGGCACAGCCGGCACGAGGGCAAGTCCCGGTTAGTCGGTGAATCTCTCTCTTCCTCTTGCCTTCTTTAAATACAGTATTCCGTCATGTACGATTTCTTGAGCGAGGATTCTTCCTCCTCTTCTTTGTTCATCTCCTCTTCTTGTCCTTCTTCATTGTTATCGGCAATGGGGAGTGTATAGGAGCGTCACGTGTCTGGTCCAGGATGGATCCTCTGACAGAATTGTGCGACGTGCTGGCGGACGATCCGTCGGCACCGGTGGACCGAGTGCAAGTCATCGTTAGTCAGTGCCCTCTGTTCGTTCCCATTCACTGTAGTACCTCGGAAGTTCGGCATCGGGGCAATGAAGAGCAGGAGGAAGAGACCGCGCTTTGGACCGAAAAGAGTCACGGAATCGCCTCTCTCGCCATTGGACCTGGGAGAGATGGGGGAGAAGGCGTGCGGAGATGTAATTGGAGCGGAAGGCAAAGGCAGACTTTGGCGGTGCTCCCGACGCCAGCCCAGTTAAATGGTGTTCTGGGTTTGGCGCGCTTCTTAGCACGATGTCAAGATCGCCATCGACACGTGAGCCTCTTGCCTATCTTGACGGATTTTCTGCGCTGTGTACCACGCCTGGCGCACGACGACGTTGATCCCCCGTTGTTCGCCACGTCGAGAGCGACCTCGTCTTTCTTCTTGCGCCTTATAGGTCACGTGTCGGAGCTTTGTCGTCTGTGGCCTGAATCTCTCGAGGAAATCAGCGCCGCCGTGGCTGATGTAATGCACGATATCACTCAAGGGGGAGGCAGCTGGGAGGTCGACACTCCATACAACGCCCGCGTCGGCCCTGTAGTGACACGCGCGTTCTTGACGGCGTTGGGGGAGCATCCGCCTTGTCTGCGTTCATCGGATGCTGTGCACGTGGCGGGATGGATGTACGACAGATGGATCGGCCCCAGAGTTGTACCAGGCAGCCCGCAGGGGTCTCCTCCTCCATCTGGGGTGGGTTCTTCCGGCGGTGTTGGTGGTGGACGTGGGGCGTATGGTTCTTCAGCTCATGGTGGCCACCATCACCACGATCATCATCGCCACTCTAACGCCGGGTGGGGTTCGTCGGCGGGAAATTCTCTGAGCATAGAATCGACGTCGAATGGGTGGATTGCAGGAGGCGGAGGGGAGATGTTACCGGACGGCCCTTACGAGGGCATCATGGAGGATATCGATGTCGTAGGGGGCGGGGAGAACAAGGCAGGGGGGTTGCGCTCATCTGAAAGCAGCGGAAGCTTGTCTTCGTGCGCGTCCGCCACGATCGGCGCGATGCTTTACGATACGGTCGAAGTGCTAGAAGGCTACGAGACCGCCTTTCGGATCGTGTCCCAGATTTTCCCCCAGCTGATGGCGAAAGAAGCAAGAAGTGGGGGGGTTGCTTCTGCTTGTGCCTCCTCCTCTGCTTCCTCTATGCGGTGCCCACTCGTGGACGGGTATCGCGTGGCCGCCAGCAGGCAACTGAAGGCCACCCTCGTGTTGCTCAAAACACGTCGCAGCAAATCCAATCCCGACCTTCCGCCGCCATCGTTGGTAGTGGCGAAAGTGCGCGCGGCGCATGCGGCCGTCGCTGTTCAGGTGGAATGTTTCCGGCATGGCTGTTGCGAGGGGAAAACGATGATGAGGTCGGCGTTGACGTTGTTGTTGGATGCTGCAGAGGGTTGCCTGACATCGCCATGGCGACTTCAATCCGCTTGCGAATCGTTGTTCTCGGCTTTGGTACAAGGAGCGGTCGCAATTGTGGTTCGTGGAGCGAAGTCCGGCCAAAGCTCTTTGCTCCAGGAGGTGCTGCTTCGTTTCAAGTCCATCTTGCTGACGGCCGCGCACGTGTCGCGCGAGCAGGCGGCAACTAGTTTGGCCGAGGACGACATGGCGACGCTTGAGGAATGCCAGGGGCCCATGCTGCGAAGCGCAGCGCAAGCCACGTGCCAGTTGCTTGTTTGCGGATGGGAATTTGAGAGGGCGGCGGTGGAGTCGTTCCTGCTGTCGATGGGCGCATACGTCAGAGAAAAGGGGAACCGGGAGGTGAAAGATCGGAGCAGTAGCAGTACATCAGTCTCCTCATTGATCCTCAAGCAAACCGTTGTCCCCCTTCTGGCGCAGTTTGGCATCGCGTTAGACCGGCCCGATGCTTTGAAGATCGTTCTTTCCCTGGTCGTGGAAAGCCTGGAAGACGGTGAGGATCACGTGACGGACGGCGTGCGTCTTAGGGTTCTTGACGCCCTGGCGCGGATTGCCAGTCTCGGACACGAGGTGGTTTACAGGGAGGTGCTGGTGCTCCTGACGCGCATGTACAAGGAGAGCTTGTCGTTAACGACACCTTTGCCGTCAGGTATGGCAGTTCCAGCGGCCCCGCCGTCGTCATCGTCGCGATTGGGAGGGTCGATGAGATCGTCGGGAGGGGGGCCAGCGAGGGACGGCCCGAGCGGAAGAATGGAGTTTTGGAAGGATGTGGAGTGGATAGGAAGGAAATTGTGCTTCATGGCCGAGAAGCTCAGGAACGCAGCGTTGCGGCGGGACCTCCGGCAAAGGTTGTTGTTGCTGTGTTCCGAGGTGGGGTTACTTGCGGAAGCTCGATCGACGGGTAGCGGTAAGGTCGCGCTCGGGCATTTGCTACCAGCAATCGCCTCTGCGAGCCGCCACTTCTCTCCCTTGGAGCAGGTGGATTTGGCAACGCTGAAGCTTTTCCGTAATCTGTGGTTCTACATTGCGCTGTTTAAGATGTGGACCGCTCCGCCGGGAGGTGCACCCTCCGGATCCAAGGGGACGGATGTGACAAAGACGACGAACGACATAAACTCGAGCTCGCTGCCTCTGTTGGGGACCACACGGCTGGAGAAACAGCTGCCTACAGCCATACGGAGTATCGCGCAGATCACTCCGCCACTCGTGGGTGGTTCTGCGAAGTGGTTGGAGGACGACGCGGATCTGAATGCGCTAATCAATCCTGGTAGCAGGCGAGGAAGCGCCATTGAGAAAGCGGCGCATGCGCAGCGAACAGATTTGTCGGCGGCTCTGTCCAGGGAGGGAGACGCGGTGGACGTTTACAGTCTCTCTTCCCTCTCGGGCGTGAAAGTCACCTACTTATTGTCCGTCGCAATCCTCGAAGGAACGAGGATGGGTGGGCCGGGTAGTCTTATTCGGAATATACCACGGTCCTGCAAAGCACTCGCGTTGATGGGGCAAGACACGACGATGGAGATGGCGCCGGTCGCGGAAGAGCCGCCGCTTCTCTCGCCCATGCGGCTGGGATCTGGTGGAGGAGGGGGAGGCGAAGGTGGTGGTGGTGGTAGTAATAAGGAAGGCGTCGTCGATGAAGAGGTTCTTCCTATAAGCGGTCTGTGGTGCGTTTTCGAGTACCTTGGAAGTCCTAGCATGAAGCCGATTGTTCGGCAATGTTTTGAATGCACGGTTCGTCGCGCCTTCGACTCGACGATTTCTTGGTTGTCGGGAGAAGGACGGGTGGCATGTGAGCGAGCGGATCGGGAGGATGCCCTGGCGGCACATGCGGTGTTTCTGCTTGGATCTCAACGAATCCAGGAGCATCCGCAGCCAATCCAGGTGCTGGCGGACTATCTGCTTGAGAAGCTCTGGAAGCGTTTTCCGCAGGTGCTGTGGCACTCCCGTTGCGTGGATGGCGTTCTCAAGCTGGTGATCAATCCTCCTGCTCCTCCGCCGACCACGCGCGCTTCGTCGTCTCTCGCCAATGCCGTCCGCCAGGCGCAGCAGCAAAGAGCGCAGCAATGGCTTGCCTACGCGCTCATGCTGGCTCCTTCTACCACTCAAGGACTTTTGCAGGAGAAGTTCCGCAAGTTAAGCCAGAGGCAAAGGTTAGGATACACGGGTGACTTGTTATCCTTAGTCTCGGAGATCCGTTTGAATGCAAGCTCCTCCTCCTCGACTTCCTCCGCGTGGTCTGGGTCGAACGGTAGCGTGCGCGCATTCTCTGAAGTGGCGATCCCGCCGATTCTGGTTCCTGCCGCATCGGTTGCGGGCGCAGCCGCGGCGGGAGGAACTGCTCACGGGAAAGAGAGCAGCACCAAGGAGGTTCTGTCCACGAGCATCATCTCTGCCAATTTGAAGAGCCAGTATGTTGGGGAAATTGCTGGGATGAAGAAGCCCATAACTTCGGTGGGCTATGCGGGACTGGCGGCCGTGGCACCAGCGCTGCCGGCGCAACTGCAGCAGCATCAGCTTCCGAATGGCACAACGACCACAGTGGACAAAAATCTTAGCTCCCTGTTGATTGGTGATTTCATACGGGTGATGAGGGACTACACGGCTCTTGCGGAGCAGGACAGACAGGTTGACCCGAGTGGGTTCCAGGAGACTTGTTTGAGGGCCGCGGCCCTGATATTGTCGGAAGAGAAGAACCGCAGCAGTTTTCCGGAGGGCTACGAACAGTTGCTCAGACTGCTGTGCTGGTGTCCGGTGCGCATTTTCACGCTAGACACATTGCAGACGGGGGTTTTCGTGTGGACGTGGCTGGTGTCGGCGGCACCTGCCTTGGCGCCAGCCATTCTCTCCGAGCTTGCGGATGCGTGGATGTGGACAGTGGAGACGAAGCGGGGCATATTCGCTTCCCAGCCGGAGGGAAGCGGTCCAGCAGCGCAGCTGCGCCCGCAGCTCACCCCTGGGGAGCCGACGAATTGGCCGCCAAAAGCAGATCCTGTGGAAGGGATCGCCGCTCACCGGATCTGGGCCGGGTTCTTGCTCGATCGGCTCGAGGTCGGGAAACGGAGCGGCGGCGAGCAGCTCCCAGTCTTCGGCAAGCTGCTGCTGGGATCGCTAGGAAGTGGCAAGCGACTGACCTCTCATCCGGCAGCGGCTGCGGCGGTGTTCAGCTTTTTGCTACTGGGTCTCACGTTCTGCCAAGCGGCGGTCGCCTGGAAATCGCCGAAGATTGACAAGGGAAGCACCATCAAACCCAGCGTGCGAATAATCCGAGATCGAGTGTACAGGGCGGCGCTGGATTGGTTCTCCGTCGCCCCAGGTTTGTTCGACTCGAAAGACGAGACCGTCAGCCAAGGCGAGTGGGAAACGATTAAGGCATTTCTCACCTGTTTGGCGATTGACCAGAAACTGGAGGAGATGGTCAAACACGAAGGGCCGATACACAATCCGGAAGGGGGGGACCACCAGCAGCCCCAGGAGCAGCAGCAGCAGCAGTACGCGTCTACTTACCTGACCCCCGACAACCTACGGCATCCGGTTTGGGGGAACGCAGAGAAGGACGGAGACGTGGCGAGGGAGAGAAGGAGGCAGCTTTTGTTGACTCTATGCCAAAACGAGGCGGACAGGTTGGAAACGTGGGCAAATCCGTTGAAGGAGGGTGCGCAGCTGCGTTTCAGGGCCCACGGGCAAGGACAAGAGAGATGGGCAGAATGGGTGAGAACCGCGTGGTCCGTAGATCCGCGGATCGCCATCGCGATGGTCGCAAGGTTTCCTGGCGTGACTCACATACGAACGGAAGTTACTAAACTGGTTCAGGCGAACATATCCAAGCTGCATCATATTCCAGAGGCTCTTCCATTTTTTGTGACTCCCACAGCCGTCAAGGAGGATTCGCCCGTCTTGCGGCAGCTACCGTACTGGGCACCTTGCTCCATCACCCAGGCTCTGGACTTTCTGACGCCCGACTTTAAGGGGCACCACAGAGTGATGGCCTATTGTCTTCGGGTCATGGAGACGTACCCTCCGGAGAAGGTGACTTTCTTCATGCCGCAGCTGATCCAAGCGCTACGCTACGATCACGGCGGCCTGGTGGAAGGATACCTTATGGTGGCCGCTCGGAAGAGTAACCTCTTCGCTCATCTCCTCATATGGCAGCTGCAGGGTGAGGATGCGCCCACGGCAGAAGACGCAGCGGACTCGTCGGAGGCCAAGAGCGAGGAGAGCAACGTTCTGTGGACCATCGTCCCACGCGTCAGGCAGCGGATCATCGATGGCTTCACCGCGGAAGCGAAGGACGTGTACGAGCGCGAGTTCCAGTTCTTTGATGCCGTGACTTCTATCTCTGGGACGCTGAAACCTCTTCCAAAGGATGAGCGAAGGGCGGGGATTCGAAGAGAGCTGGAAAAAATCAAAATACCTGGGGACGATCTTTATCTTCCCACCGCGCCGGATAAGATCGTCCGCGGTATAAAGCTGGACAGTGGCATCCCTCTCCAGTCCGCCGCTAAGGTCCCCATTATGATCACCTTCTATGTCGTGTCCAAGCATGGACCGGCCGACGGTATTGTGCCTCAAGCCTGCATTTTCAAGGTGGGCGACGACTGTCGCCAGGACGTCCTTGCCTTGCAGGTTATTGCCCTGCTGCGCGACGTTTTCGCGGCCATCAACTTGGACCTTTATCTTTTCCCCTACGGCGTCCTTCCTACCGGTTACGGCCGTGGAATCATCGAGGTGGTCCCCAACTCTCGCAGTCGGAATCAGATGGGTGAGCTCAGCGATGGCGGCCTGCTGGAACTTTTTCAGCAGGATTTTGGACCCGTGGGGACGCGGAGATTCGAGCAGGCGCGGGACAACTTGATCGTCAGTGCTGCGGGCTATGCAGTCGCGAGCCTGCTCCTGCAGCCCAAGGACAGACACAACGGTAACATTCTGTTCGACAAGGACGGCAGGCTCGTGCACATTGATTTCGGATTCATATTGGAGACGTCACCAGGTGGCAACATGCGGTTTGAGAGCGCGGATTTCAAGCTCTCGTACGAAATGACGCAGTTGATGGACCCGTCGGGGGACATGAAAAGTGCGCCGTGGCGTAAATTCGTCAGTCTCTGTGTGAAAGGATACCTGGCGGCAAGGGTGCACATGGACGGCATAGTGAATACCGTCAAGCTCATGGTTGACAGCGGATTGCCGTGTTTTAGTAGAGGAGATCCGATCAACAACCTTAGGAAGAGATTTCATCCCGAGATGAATGAAAGGGAGGCAGCTGACTTCATGATAGCTACCTGCACGGATTCCTACAACAAGCTCACCACCTTTGCGTATGACGTCATTCAAAATTGGCAACAGGGAATTGAACACTGACATTGTTCTCTCTCTCTCTCGACGCCACTCTCGAGATTGGACTGGTTCCCGCTGTTTATAATTTGCAGTCCTAAAGGCTGCGGTATACCAGGGAGCGGCATCTGCAGCCAAGGCTTGCCTTTCGGACAACCGGCGGCACAAGGGGAATTAGAGACTCCTCAAGGCTTGGGAGCGGTAGGGGTTCGTTTTGGTTGTTCGTTGTTCTTTGCACCGCATAGATTGTAGAACAGGTCCGTTTGGAGCAAAACGTCGAAAGCTGTCGACGGGGGTTCATGCGGGGGTTGAAACTTGAAATAATGAGGTGCCCTGTGCACGCGACTTGGCCCCATTGAAAGCAAGGCCGGTCAGTTCCTTTGTTTTATGTTGGAAAGGCGGGTTTCGTTTTAGTGCCTTTGCTTCATTTCGGAAAGGTGGGTCCACTTATTCTATCATTGTCTTTCCGCAGTTGTTTGGTTTCTTTTGACCGCGCTTAGTTTCGCTGGAAAAAGAGAGCCCCACCATACTCCCTCTCTCTCTCGCTCTGTGTGTGTCTCTCTCTCGCATTGATGATGAGGGTGGAAGCGCCAAGCTCATGAAAGGTAAGTGAAGGCATCTCTCTCTCTCTCTCTCTCTCTCTCTCTCTCTCTCTCTCTCTCTCTCTCTCAATCTTGTTTTCTGACCAAGCCAGTGGGACTCTTGTGTTGGACGGATACGGATGAAGGTCGTGACAGGTAAGTGAAGGCATTCTTTGTTCTCGACCCAAGGTGCTGGCCCTGGCGGGCTTCGTGATCCGAGCGTAAAACCTTGTCATGTCAGGGGTTTGGCGTGGCATATCTGTTAGAAGATTAAGTGGAAGAGAGGTAGGACGAGGGGCAGCGCGAGTGGAGGACGAGGGGGATCTCACTCTCACTGTCTCTGTTGCTCTCTCTCTCTCTCTCTCTCTCTCTC